GAATAAAGTAGGTATTTATTAAAAGGCCTCAATGGATACACCTTGGGCAGCACAAGAGCCCAGCCAGGGCTGCACCAAAGATGAACCCAAAATGGTCACAAAATGCACAACTGGTCACGAGGTCTGTCTCTTATAAGTTTTGGTCCATTTGCATATTGGAGTTAATTGTCCAGTTATGGCTTTATGTCATAAGTCTCATCCTTCTTGTTTTTCTCTCTTCGGTCCACATTTGTTTATGCTCTTGGGCCTGAAACTTGTATCAATTGTCCTTGGTCCCCAGCTAGAGAAGGAATTGTTTTATCTACCTACTCTGTGAAGAGAGTTTATTAACACTTAGTATGAAGCTCAGAACTGCACATTAAGCAGTACAGAATCAGAAAAATACAAAAGTTAAAACGTAAGGCATCAATCTTATCTCTAATTAAGCAAGAAAAGCTTTAGCTTTCTCTATATATACATGTATGTATATATGTGTACCTACATATAGACATATGTATGTGTACATGTGTGCAGGTATACATATATGAATATATATATACATATATACATACATACATACATACATACATACATACAGATAGATAGATAGATAAACACACATGTATTGGAAACAAAGAAAAGGTGAACCTCTGTCATGAGAAAAGTGAGGAAAAGTGATGTTTTTTTCTAATCCAAACCATTTATCTTGTGTGGGCACACTCCTTTCTTCCTGACAGCTACTGCTGCTACTTTTTATTTAACAGGTATAACATTCACAGCACAAGGTAAGTTTTTCAAGTACAGACAACACGTTAATGTAGCATGGTCATGAGCTAGAAGCTTGTCAAGCCTTTATGGTACTAAGTCTACACTGCTATTATGAAGTGTAAGGATATCCAAAGCATTGCCCCTGAGGCCAAGAATTTGAGAAGTCTTGATGCAAGTGAGAAGCATTCTAAATGTGAGTGTTGATGTCTTCCTGGTATTGGGAAGTCCAGACTGTAATCATAACTGTAAACATGACGAGTGTTAATTGCTTGAGAGTAATGACTTTTCTCCATCAACTGCAATCTGTGTTCCTGTTAACACATGCCAAATTACTCTTGCTGCCAGGGCACACAGCTGGCTCATGTTCAGCTTGCTGTCCACCAACATCCCCAGGATCTTTTCAGCACAGCTGCTCCTCAGCAGTTATCATTATGAGAACCTACACTTCCCAGAGGAGCAACTTTTTGCACCTTAATTCTTGAATTTCCAGGGATCTTCTATGATGAGATGCTGAACTGCAGATTTTTCATGACACATTATATTTAAAATAAACTTTAAAGAAAATAGTTGAGTTTTCTTTTCCCATTGCCAAGGATATTTTGTAAAACTGGAAGTTAAATTCAATTGCTTTTCTACTTAAAAATAAGCATATTTGTTATAGAATTTATTGAAGGTAATAAAACTAGTATCAACCCAGATAATTTTTACTGATAAAGTGAACAATACTACAATTTCTGAAATTTTCTGATTGATATTGCTTTAATTTCATAACTATAACATTGCAAAGAAGTTTGTGTAGCATGCTTGCTTTTCATATTATAATATTCTTTCAATGGTTTGGAGAGCTTCTCTTAAGCTGTCTACACACAAAAACTTCAGCAGAGCTGAGGTTTTACAAAACAGCAGGCTTAACTTATGAATATTAAAAAAATGAAGCCTGTCTTAACCTCATACTCAGTGGAAGCTTTGGGGTAAGGACCACAGAGCAGATTGAGGAATTTTTCTTGCTATTATGGCAATATGTGACATCACTCAACCATTTTAAAGCAAAATAACAAAAAAAAAACATAACTGTATTTTAAAGTGTTCTGGTTATTTGCAAAATTTTGAATCTTCCTGTACCAGACTGCTTTCTGAGGAACAAATCTGGAGGTATTTTACTTACCTAAAGGAATGGATGATAGCCCTGAAAAAAACAAATATGGAGCCTGAGTTCTGTACAGAATGAAATGTTAAGATTGATTTATGCTGAAAGATTTTATGCAGATTAATAAAAATGTAGAAGACACTTAATGCAGCAGCACCTTTTGGTTTGTAGCTTTTTTTTAAAGAAGAGTTTTGAACAGATGGAATACAAGTAATTTTAATTATTATGAGAATTTTGATAGCTTTGTTGCATCTTTTCTAAAGCAAACCATCTAAGGCATTTTCTATGCAGAATAGACAAGAATATCTAAGTGAAATTAAGGAGTAAATAAAACATTAAAAGACAGCACACTGTGAAAACAGGACTGAGCATTTTGCATACATTTAACTGAAAGCCAAACTAGTCTTTCCTAGTCTTTCAGGTTCAGTTTTTGAACTCTGTATGTTAATATCAAATGCACAGTTATTTCTTCTTTTAGTTCCTGTCACAAACTGTGTCTAAAATAATTGCCTATCTGGATTTTACAGCTCTCTGATGAGGAAATTGGCTCATTTAGCTACTTGCTTCAACAGTTCATCTACTTCCCTAATCAAAATCTGCTTGTTGTTTTTAAGCCAAGGGTTCCAGCAATTGAATCTACATGGTATCTACCAGAATGAATATGGATTCTTGTAAAAATGATATTTGAAACCCCATTGCATTTTCCTTTGGTGAAGTAAAGAGGCCAAGTTCCTTGTACTTTCTTATTCATCTTATACATTATTTCCTACCATTCTTGACATTATTCTCTGAATACTTTCTAGTTTCAACAGCTATCCTGCTAGAAGTGTAGCTATAAAAGCTGAACATGATATAACTGTAACTTCTCTGCTACAACTGAATGCAAAACTACTCAACATTCCTCCTTCATAAAAACAATGACCTCTTTCATGTCTGGGTCACAGCTGAGCTGGGAACTCAAAGTCTCTTGAATAACTCTTGTGATACTCAGTTATACTCCAGTAGTAACTGTTGAAAAAATACATTGCAATTTTCAGGCCATATACTCTTTGCTTTGTAAATTATACCTTTACTTTCTGATAGAGGAGTACGTGCTCACTGCATGAAACTTGACATTTCACACAGCCTACTTCATTTTTTACTATTTTACACTGCTATGCAATCTGCACTTAATTTCAGACATTATCAGTAATGATTTTATGTTCCATTCTGGGTCACAGGTAAAATTTATAAACAGTGTATGAGAAAGGCGGAATAATTGAAGAATCTTACCTAAATAGAAATTTATGATTTTCAGTAGCTGAAGCTTCTTCTTCCTTCACTCAGGTGTATGAACTGTAGGGAAGGCTTTTTGAAAATAATATTTTTTTAATTTTCTAATGCAGATCTCCAGTGTGCAAAATCAGAATTAAACAGTTAGTAATTAAAGCTGTTTTTAAATAAAAAACTAAATGTGGAACAAAAGAAATCATTTAAAGATTATGAAATATGCAAAAGGCAGAGAACTAAATTGCAACTCTTTTCTATTAATATAATAATTTAATATGGAGTAAAAATACAAATTCTTGTGTGAATATATTCATGTTCTGTTTAAAAAATATTGGGATAAAACTGACCAAGTTGTCTATGTTATGTGAAGAAATGATTCTCATAAAAAGAATAATTTGTATGCATATCATGAAGCCTGTTGTCACATGTAAAATGAGGATGTTGAGGTTTTAGCATGGTTTGTGGGGGCACAACAAAGTTACATCTGTTTCTGTACTGGTGTGGTTAGCACAAAATATGTAGACTGAAAAGACATTAATATTTTTTGCCTGAAGTGATAAGCTGACTGGGTTCTATTCTGAGAGTCATATATCACATATAAATGCTTTGATCTGCTACCTCTAGACTTTCCTTTCAAAATGTGACTGTCTTTAATCAAAGAAATAAACCTGCCATTATTGATATCAGGTTCTAAAACATGAAAAATATTTACTGCCAGATTTATTTATCTGATCTCTTAGTTGTTGTCTAACCATTTCTCTTTTTTTTGCTGTTGCTTTTTTGATACAGAATTGTTTTATAACTCAGAAAGGCAATCTAGAAACCTCACAAGCAATATCATCATTTGTGAGTACTATACTATCTCATGCATACTTGGCTAAAAAGTAATAAACTATATTAAAATGAAAAAATACTCTGTGCAGATAGCATTCTCAGCAAAGGGTAAAGGTTTGTGGTTCCCTATGGGTTATATGACTTCCATAAGATTATTTGTATTCTTAAAGAGCATCATATGTTCAAATACTTTGCTGAATCAAAACAGGGAAAAGACCATTTAAACAGTTTGCACAATTTTTCTGAGGGTAATGATGAATGCAGAAAATTAGGAGTGAAGGATTCATGCTCCAGAATGAAGGAGCAGTGCTCAGATACAAGCTACTAAGTCAGTGTAGAATGCTGAAGGTTTGCTAATATCTTGGGCAGCAGACAGACTAAAATTAGACCATATACTTAGTTCAGATAATCACAGTTGCCAGTTTCCTATGTTTAGTCTTCAGAAAACTTGATACTGTAGATCAGATGAATACCAGAATACCACTGAAAGCCGAGAATTTTTTATGCATCCATTTTCAAATCCAGGGGAATTATTTACAAGGAGTGGTCTGAAACATATGTCACAAAGGTCCGTGAAAGAACAGTTCCTATCAACTTATTGTAAGCTGTCCCTAGACACAAGAGAATGGAGAAATTGGATAAAACTGCATTTAAACACAAAGATCCTATTATCCAGGAAAACCAGTAAGACTCAGACTTCATACAGAAAAAGAAACACCCACTTAAGCTGTAAGGAGAACGTTTGACTAAGACTCTTCTTAATCTGCCAGAGAAGTCAACATTCTCTAGGTGTCATGGTGTGCAATAGATATTTTTAGACAAGCACCTATCACATATGAAAATTCAGAGTATGTGGTGCCCTTGAACGCACTGTGTCAATAAAAAAAGGATAGCAGGCGGTATAATTGAGATGTACTGCAAGGTTAGAAACAGAAAGGTTCAATGGCAAAGATTCATCATCTCCAATGTCACCAAACACTGTTTTCATTAACATGATGCCCAATTTGTCCTGGTCTTAGAGAAAACAATTTTCATTTATTTTTTTAATTAAAAATTGCAACATGCTTTAAAAGATTAATTGATTACAGCATTAAATTCATTAAAAGTTAATTAATTAATAAACTGTACAGATAACAAAAGCTGAATAGATATCTTAGTACATTTAGAAGAACTGGATATATTCTTTAACCATATCTTAATGCCAACATTACCATCTCTATTTAAGTTCAGAAATGGGATTAATTTTATTTAGAAATATCATCAGACTATTTAAGATGAGCAAACCATAACTTTCCCTTTTTGTGGTTTTGTTGTTTTGTTTATTTTAATTTTAAAGTAACAGAAAATGTGTAGTTGGATGGGATTTTGCTCTTGCAACAATAAACAAAAAAACATTTCTCATGGAAGAGAGGACTGTACCTGTAAGACACATTTCTTACAGACTTTGAGAAAAAAGATTTCTTAATGTTCATAAACAGTAGTTTTTCATACATTTATGTCTTCACATGTGTTTTGTTCCCCATCAGTTGATTGTGCTTCTTTGGATCTTTGGAGAAAGACTTTTATATCCTATGAAAAGAAAAAAGGAAATATTAAAAGTAATTTCATGTTGCAGCCTGAAAACTGCAGTAATAACACCTGTCTATCCATGGGGTGAGCTTTCCACTGACTAGATTATGGAGAAAAACTAACTTCAGTGGAGGTAAATTGTAGATTCCCCATGTTACAGACAATGTCTTCCAGCAGGACACTGGAACTTATTCAGCTGAGGTGCTGTAATATCACTGTGATGATATTTTCATGTTATCCACAGGACTTAATTTCCTTCGGTGGTTTTACAAAACAACACTATGTTTAAATGAGACTCTTAAACAGAAATCGTAAACATCAGCTTAATATTATTGGTAAAGAGAGGTATCAAGACTGTTGTTTAAACCAGTAAATATTATTCAGAACATACAATGACAAATTCTTCAATTAAGGACTTTTTTTTATTATGTCATATTTCAGACTGAACTTTAATTTAACAAGTTTAACAATTAATCCCTTAACAATTCCAGGGAATACATATTAAAAAAATAAGTAACTAACACTTTGAATAATATATACCTTCAGTAGGTTAATTTTATGCTTAATTCTTTATAACATATTGTCTGATTTGTTGATTTTCAATAATTTTGTATTAACAGAATCTTCTCCATTTCCCATTTCAGCAGTACTATCCATTGGAGGATGTGTTAGTAAGATGAACAAGGAATTTTTGTTTTAAAATAATAACATGTTGAGCATTCAATACAAAAATAAATATTTAACTTTCTAGCATCTTCTGATACTGTCAGAATACACATTTTTTCCTTTAGGAGAATAATTAACAGTCAGATTTTTTTATTGTATGTAGTATTTTTACATACATGTAGTGCAATATATATTTTGTGCATATTTTGAATATACAACCTTTTCTCAAGAGCAGAAACTGCCTGTATGTAATGATGCCTAACAAACTTACAAAATACCAGAAGTATTTCAGTGAATACAAAACTATGCTAAAAGAAAGTATTACCAGTCTTTGGTTTTAGAAGGTTGCACTAATAGGAGACACTTACTTATAAGGAGTCACTTTTTCAGCAAATTGAGTCAGAATAAGTAATTTCAATCCTGGTTAGATAAAAATAAATGTAGTACTAAATTCTGTCAAAAAACTTGATATAGAGTGCTCCAACAGTTTTATTATGTCTGTCTTTAATGAAGCAAACTTTTTTTAAGGTGAAAACATAATATTTATATTTCTTTACTTTAAGAAACAACATATTTTATGTACATTAAATTTTCTAAGATTATTTAGTGATGGGATGAATGATCAAGAGAAGCATAACATAGGTCTCTTTTTTCAATGAGGTACTTAAACACTCAGTTGGGTTTTTCTTTCCTTGCACACTGGGACATTTAAAATGCCACATGAAAAAAGGTTCTCAAGTTTCATAGGTATTACAGTTACAGCTTATGACTAAAGAGTGATTCAGCAGTACTTTTTTTCTGTCAAAAGTTGTATTTAATATAATCTATATGAACTCTCCCTATCACAAGAAGCTCTTCTACTTTGTGAAATGATACATGGAGTTCTGAATGTTTGTTGTGTAATATTAAACGGCTGCTGTGAGTATAAATAGGTTTTGTAATACTTCTTCAACATACTAATAAATATTTTTTCAAAAAGCCATGTTAACTATAGGTTAATAGAAATCCCACTTCAGTGGAACTCCTATCTGAAAGAATACCTGGATTATGTTACTAAAATGATTAACAGAATGAACAACATTAACAGCAGTAACCACATGAACAAATAATTTAGACTGAACAAGCATAATGCCTCTGCTTAATAGATTCAAAACATAAGCACATAGAAATATGATGTGATATCCCTATCCTCAAAAACAGAACTTATTTTAAACCTGTTTTTAAAACAGAATTATTTTAAAGGGCTATTCAGGATTTGAAAGCATAATAAGAAATAGAATGCAATTTATCCAATGCATAATATTTTTATATTAATAAATTGAATGCTAATTATCAAATTACCTTATCTTCAATAATTATAATTTAGTTTACTCAAAGTAACAAATACTTTATTGAGCATTAAGAATTTTAGAAGTAGAATATATCCCAGACTCTTTATTTAAATTTATCACAATCAAAATGCAGAATTATTAAAATATGTGGTTATTTCTGTTTTACCATATCTGTGACAGTCTCAGAACAGATGGTAAAATTTGTAACAATAAATAATGAGGTCTAAAGAAAATTCCTTAATTGACCAAATTGAATAGATTTACACATGCAGTGGAAAAAAGCAGAATTGCTTGCTTCTCCCATCTGAATCAGCTGGTCTAATAAAAAAAATATTCTCTAATTTATTATTAAAGTTATTGAAAGACTATTTGAGCATGTAATGAAGTACCCTCATAAACATAGACATGTCAGGGTCATCATCTATTCTCAAGGAATAAATTTTATCTGATCAGTGAAAAAAAATGTGTTGATATTGGCAAACACTGGAAAGGTCTAGTTAGGACCAGAAAACCTTGTAATCAGGTCAGAAAAGACAAGATGAAAAAAGTAATAGAATTTCTGGGCATATTAATTTGTAGACATTTGTACTAAGGCTAACAGAAAGGTCACCATCATGTAGGATGGTGCCAGCCCACTAGCAGAGAAAACAAAATCCCTGCAAAAGACAATATATCTTACATGGAAAAAAAAGTTAAGATATGACAAATAATAATGGTTGAAATTGAACAGCTCATCAAGCTCCAAAAGAATCAGGTATCCCAACTTAAATTTGAAAAATTGTAAGCTAGATGCCCTCTATTATAGTTTTCAGCAAAACGTTTTACTTTCTGCTGTTTATGACTGCATTAGTACAAACATTTTAACTTTTAGAAACCACACCCTGACTTGCTATATTTATCTTGTAAAAGATCTCAAAATAACAGCACTGTGGTTGACTTTCATTTTTATAGACATCTCTGAGGAGAATTTCTGCAAAAATAATTGATGCTAAAAATATTGTCTTGGAAAGAAAAAAGTTCACCTGTTCTCCAAATAGGGAATTGATACAGGAAAAATCTTCCTGAAGTATGTATCTAATAGACCAGATTTGCAACATACCTAAAACAATGGCCCCTGGGTCTCTATGCCTGTTTGTTGGTGAAAAAAAAACTTTTTTGGTAAACCTGAGTGTTGACTTCATTTATAAAACCAAAGTCTGTATTTAACAGTACAGTCAAGGAATGAAATAGTTTGGGTTTAAGTACAGAAATCATAGAGTACAATATTTGAGATGCAGTCAGTAAAAGCCTTTTCAAGAGGAAATTTTAAGTATTAGAAATTATAACTGAAGCTCTGTATCACCTAACTGTTGAGTCAGGAGATACTGGAATCAATGGAATCTGCCAAATAAGTGGAAAAATGTCTCATTTAAGTGAAATGATACCAATATATAAACATGATGTGGGAATTCCTCTGTGCTAGAATATGTGCACTGAAACCTTCAGTTGTTGCCAAGAGTCACATATACTGTCTTGCAGCTTTTCTCATAGACTGACAATTTTTATAACTGAACTGCCCGGAATATCCTACCAGCTAGAAATAGCACAGGTAATTGATGGTAGGTAATACAATTTAAACATGCACTACAATCTACTCTTTAAGTTATGTAACAAAGTACCCCCTAAAAATGGTAAAGGAAAATCAGAAACCTTAATAAAGAATAGATATGGTGTGCTTGATTTTCAGCTATTGGCCAGTGTGGAAACATTTTAACAGAGTCCCTGCAAATTGCCAAGCATATAGATATGGCTTTACTCAGTTTACATCCTAATTAAGTTTTACCGTAGGTTTCATCACATTTGGTTTTCATGAAGAGGCTGCATTATATTAAATGCTACAAAGTCAGTGAACATTTGTGTAAACAACAGTTCTTGAGGTGGAACATATCTAAAGAACTAATTTAAAAAACACTTTGGTCTACAAGAAATTCAGTGATGTTGGAAAAAAAATCAAATCAGAAAATGCAGTATTCAAATAAATAAAAAGAGTCAGGAAGAAAGAATGGGGAAGGGAAGGGAGGAATGACCTAACATCCCAACATTGCATGGCATCTGTCTTCCCAAATTGGCTGAGACATCAACATAGGCAGGATGGACACACATGGATATCTATAATCTTCAATTTTATTCTCTTGTCTTTGTCTTACATTTTCTATCACTTTCTAATGTGGCAAATGCATTTTTAACCCTCACTCTTACTGAGTAAATATATTATTTTATTGTATTTCATCTTTGATTGACAGTCATTGTGAGTGATAAAATAAATTCTGGGCAATTCACATCCTTATCACAAGAGAGGACTATAATTAAGAAATAGCAAGTTACTCCTAAACTATCATGTATCTTATTCAGATTAACATTTTGTGGGCCACTATGGGGGTGATCACCTAAAACTTGTGAAGACTGTTTATTGTTTATTGACTGTTTGTTGTCCCTTTTGATGTGGGACATGCACATCCAGCATCCTCTCACCTTCTCATGCTGTTTTCTTACACCCCGTGCATCAAGCATTTTTGCCGTATTTTTACACCTTGAATAGGGTGATTCTCTGGCCCAAACTTGCCTTTTGTGCAGCTGTTTTAATGTTTAAACATAGGTTCAGGCAGCAAGGAGGCTCTAGACAATGACAGAGAAGAACACTTGGACCTGTACTGCCTCTGCATGCCCTTTTCTGCTGTCTGGTTGGCCTGGGGTGGAATGGGATCTGTAGCAACTGCATGAACATGTATTTTACAGTGTCCTGCAGTATGATCCTGTTGGGGGGATAATTCAACCAGATTCCTTTCTATAGATGGGGAGAAAGGCAAAGCCTCATCAAACGAGGCTGTGGAAAACTTGTAAGCAGTTCAGGCCAGCAAGACTTGCACACTAAACAGGTCCAAAAGCAAACCAGTCTTCGATGGAAGGAATTTTCACAGAAAACAGAAAACCTGATCTACACTACAGCTGCTGGGATGTACAGCTGATCTACATTGCAAATTGGCAGTATCTACATTAATTACATGCACATTTCTGGGACAATGCAAATTTAAGCATGTATCTTTTGTCCCAGACAGGAATACTTACAGGAAGTTTGTACTCTTGGCATGTGTTAATCAAATCTTCCATGAAAGGATGCTTCAAAAGGAGTTCAACTGCAATGGGTGTCAGATCTTCAGCACCTAATTCTTGGTACATCTTGATGAAGTGCTTTAAGTAAAAATAATACATGGTCAATTTATTGTAAAAAAAAGTGGAAAAGCAAAGATCACAGTATATTTTTTAACATATGATGCAAATTACAAAACTATCCTTGAATCAATCTACCTACTTTATCATAGCTGTCTTCCTTCTCCAGACAGCTAAATCTATGATAATCTTCATCTTTGCTTCCTCCAGTATGAAACACTTTGAGTAGAGATGCCACTGAAATAATTCCTTCACCTGTGTAATTCAAGACTTCTTTTTCATCCTCTTTTAAAGTCTTTTCATTTGACAATATGTTGAGGCTTGAAGAATCCTAAAAATTTAGGCATAGGTATCATACTTGGGGATAAACAATCTGTCAGTAGATTATCTGTTTCAGTTAAACACCCATTAAGAACCAATGGATTATAATTCCAAATTTCAGTTCTTACAAAACAAAAGTTATCAACTCACACAAAATTATCTACTGCACCATAGCACAGAGGAATAAATTCTGGCAATCCAGAAATATCCATAATGTTGGAATTACCAGAAATTTAATAGACAGCTTTTTCCAGGAATGTGGCAAACATTGCACAGAAAAGCTAGTATTTCTCAGAGCAACAAAACGTAAAAGTATTTAATGTTTACAAACTACAATACCAAGAAATTGGTGTTTATTTAAGGAGTAAACTTGGTAATTCTGGCTGTTCACAAGGAAAAAAAAAAACAGTATGAATTTTCTAGTCCAAATTTAGTCACTGCAAGAACTCTGTTTTGGCCAAGAGTTAACCAGCTCTCTACAGAAACAGGTATTCTCTAGTTTATGCAGAAAAATTAAGTTTACTTTAAGCAAGAAATTAGGTAATTTTGTGGTGATATTAGAGCTGGTTAAAGAGAAAAAAAACAACCTAAAACTAAACAAAAAAAACTGCTGTAGAGAATTGTGAACACAAAGATGAGAAAAGATCTCACAGAGGTGAACAGTGCTTTGACTAGATTATGTCACAACGTAGACTAACCACTAGCAACAGGAAATTTATGTAATTGAACAAACCATTTATTTTCTCATTAAAGAGAAAAGGTTCTCAAGTGAGAGAGAGAGACGCTGCTGAGGTTCAGTCACACTTGTGCTGTGTGCCTTGGGTCTTAATATATTTCATTTTGAGCACTGAAGGAGTAGAGTCATTTACAGTCTTTTTAACACACAATAATCAAGATTACAGAATTACCAGCACTGAAGTTTATCCATCTGTCATAGGATTGCTTACATTGAGCTGTGAGACCTACACAACTAATAACAACATTATTTAGACTTCAAATGAAGCTAGTGAAAGAATTCTCAAGAATATGTTAGTCTGAGCTTCTCTTAACAACATGAAGACTTTAGATGTATTTCTGCAGGCAGATACTAATGAGAAGACATTACAATTACCAGCACAGAACAAGAAAAAGAGAAGAGGCAAATTAGGTAAAATTCTGTAAGTGCCTATGTATGAGCCAGCTACCTAAGGTGTAAAACTTCCTAGAGATTAACTAGATGGCTCTTTATATTTCACTAATGACTGTTCCACTGATAATATTCACTACATTTCCAGTACCTGGAGTGAGAATGGGGATGTTTAGATCACATGTAAACAGCCACAGGGAAACAAAGGTTTAGGTCCTTAATTTGATGATGAAACCACTTTGGATGTCATCAGGACTCTGTGTATTTGATGGAGCTTGGCTCAAACCTGACACAATATCAATGCACCATTTCCTTTTTGACCCCTTGTGTTTGTGGAATAACCTCCATAAAATTCTGGCTCTAGTAAAGCCTATAGAGAAAACTAATTTACGTCAGTGGTATGGGATTTGTTTTGTTTCCTTCTGCCTATATTCAACATTATTGTTTAAGTGCACAGGCATGGAACACAAGGCATAAGAAACAAATATTAAAAAAAATAAAATATTAATAAAAAAGAAAATATTAAAATTATGTTTTCAAGTCAGTCCAGTGGTTCTGCGCACCAGCCTAGACAACTGTAAAGTCAGAGAGAATCCATAAAAGCAAGATTCGTTTAACATCTAATTCTTGGATATTCCTATATTTCTGAGGGACTCTCCAAGGTGAATTAGGCACACAATCTGTCTATTTAATACATACATCAGATAGAGCACATATTCACAGAGCTAATGCCTTGAGTGAGAAAGCAGGCTTGAGGAAATGCTCAGGTTAGAAGGGACATCTCTTCTCAGAGATCCAGTTAATTCTGGGCTGAAGGCAAATGCTCCCCTTCACTCGTGACTCACAGCCTTAAGAAGTTATTGATACATAGGTGATAATTCCAGTGTGCTTATTGATATACTACCAAACTTCCAACCAAACAGATGAAACCAAGCAGAAAATAGTAAAGAGGAGAATAGGCTGTGTAGCTTTATATCCAATGAGATGAAAGTTAGAACTTTTCACCAAAATATGGGAAATTAATACCACAATATCTAATTAGGAGCATTCTGTGCTCTCCTTCTTCCTATGAAATGTGGAAGGTCATATTGCCTCATTCAGTCTCTTCAGTGCATAAAAACTCCACTGTGCCAAACAAAACACAGGGAAGTATAGTAACTTCTGTAATTTGAAATTATCAAATGCTATTTTGCATATGTATATGATTACCCTGTGTAGTAAAATAATGCCTTTTCTATGCTGTTTCTAGAGATCTCAATTATACTTTAAGTTCTGGGCAAATGCTGGAGTCACTGTGGTTGCATCAGGGCAATGAATAATTTTATTATCTTGAGCAGCAACCTCTTTCCAAGCTGCATACAAATAAATAATTTATGTCAAAATAAGTACAAAAATTACTTAACTTCAATAAATATAAATATTCACTAATTAGTAACTGATACATGCAGTAGACTAATTTGAGTTTTAAGACTTTAATAATAAGAACATACTCCAGAAATACTAACACTGTTCAAATGATGAGTTTCATTTGATTTAACAATGCACTCATCATGGCTGAAAAAATAATTAAAAATATATTTGAAACTAATTATTATTATTATTATACTTTCCGGTTTACAGATAAACCTAAACACTTGGAAGTAATGCAACAAAGATGTGTCTGAATACCCCAAAGAAACATAGTGGAAAATAAAGTAAGACCAGAAATAATACCAGGTCTTACATCTTGAGATAACATCACTGTAAGTCACACTGCAGTCTAATTCCAGAGGACTGTCAGCTGGTCAATTAAGCAAAAGAATACTTCCATTCGTATATGTAAGGAGTAGTCACCAGTAAATATCTTAAGCTTTCATGAATGGCAAGCAAATTTCCAGACTTTTGAAAGACTCCTTCTCAGTATTATTACCAATGCAATATTCCCATTAATTCAGTGAGACTACTTGAGACTACTGGACCTACCCAGGATAAGCAAATATAGAGAAACCTAGTTAATTTATCATTTGAAAGTACTACTACTATTCTCTAGTATTTTTCTGTAATGTTTTACCACACATGGAAGGGAAGCTTTCTTTTTTCTGTGAATGCATGTTCCAGTAGCAATGCTAAGTGCTCTGTATACACCTTCAACTGGATCAGAGTGGGAGGCGAAATAAAGCAGCATCTCAATATAGTCCAGCAGAGCAGAGTCTTTTTTGGTATCCGCAAATAAATGGAAGAAAAACTATAAAAGGGCAAAAATGAGCAAATTAATTTCTATAAGTTGACTTCAATGAAATACAAATCAAGGACTGTAGAGAAAAGCATGAAATATAGTAATTACTGCTAATAAGAGCTACTATATTTAAGAACATTTTGAGGCTGTACAAATCAAGGCTGTGATAAATCATAAATGTGTGTTAAGTAATTCAAGGAAATAGAAATTGAGTTTCGCAGAAAAGAGAGAAATAAAACCTTGTATCATGATAAATATGTTCAAAGCATTTTTTGTATCCAGATTATTATTAGCCCTCTCTTTCATAGAAAATTATATGAGCTCAGATGCAGTGGTCATTTGTGTCCCATTCTTTAAAAAGCTGGTTGCTGTGTAGCAAAATTAATGTCATTCAACAAAGAACAGGAGTAATTAAGTCTTTCTGAGCACACTATGATTTAGAATGCTCAAGGCTGACTCTTGGATTCCTTTCTACATTATTCTGAACCACCACTTGACCTGAAAAAAAATAAAAAAAAAAAAAAATGCAGGACTTATTGAAAAAAAGAGACTCAAAAAACTCTGAAATGAGACCTATCATGTTTGAATAGTGATTTCTTGAAAATACCTATATTTTCAGTTACCTTTATGAGGTGTTTTAGCCTTTCTAAAGACACAGGTTCTTCGCAATTTTCTGTTATGCTTAGCTCTTCATTTCCATTAAACCATAAGCCAACCTGATTTCATAAGTAAATAAATAAATAAATAAATAACTTTGTTTATTTTCACACATTGAAATAAGGTGGTCTTTATATTCTAGCTGTTCAACACACAAGTTACAAAAGCCTAATCTCTGGATTTAATCAAACTGAATTTTTTATTAATATATAATGTGAAATTAATTAAGTAGCTGTTTGTATGTTGTAACAGATACTTGAGAAGTTACTGAAAATCAAATAGGATAGAAGTGAATATATGCTTTTGAAAAAAGTGAAAATTAATTATGTACTTGTAAATCTATGCTGTTGAAGAAGCAGGATATGATACGGAGTTTCTATGTATCTTCTGGTTTCTTCCTTTTAGGATATCCTTTGCTAACCCCTGCAGCTTTTGTCCAGACTGTACTTTTAGAAGAAAATGTCCATACAATTCAGGATGATGAAGGATGGAGTCACAGCTCTCCCCATGCTTACCTGCTCCCAGCAAGATGACCAAGAGTCCTACACAGCCAGAGCTAAAACTGGAAAAGTGCCCAGAACCAATTCTGTAGTACTAGACACAGGAAGGATAAGCTACGGTAGGCATGAACAAACTTCCTACAGAAAAATTCACTTGTGTGAATTACACTAGGTTGTACAAACAACATTACAGCAGGGACAACCCACCACCATTACCTGGAGATGAGCCCTGGCACTGTGTAGTTTACCAGTGTAGGTGCAGAGAGAGAGGACAGGTGAAGCAGCTGAAATTCCCAGTGGAAGGCTATTCAAACCAGTTGTTTATTGCATATTTACTGTCTTGTAATATTGAAATGATTAAATTAATTGCTCAGTTAATATTATATTTGAAATAGGATCCTGTGATAAAAATGTACATTCTTGATCTGCATGTCTAGTAACTGCTAGCTTATTTGCTCTTCAGGAAAACTTACAATAGAAAAATAAATGTACATAGACCTGCATTTTTTGTGGGTTTTCTGGCCTTGCAGAGTTTGTTTCTTAGAAAGTCTGTGGTGGGCAGGGATTGGCAGGTGCTCCTGGAAGTTTTAAATTAATCAAAGAAGTTCTGAAAATTGCAGGCCTCTGGACTAACACAGCTTTTATTTATTCTTCTTTAAAAACCAATGCTAGGTGAGTGGAAAACTAATTACAATAAATTTTCTATGAAATTTATTCAAAGCAGTTGGAAAATTATATTTACTATCACCAAACAAATACAGAAACTGGCAAGACTGGTGTATCTACAGACACCTTTATGTGTAAATATATGATACTTACAGTTAGTATAGCCCAAGAGAGTGAACCAGGATCATTATAAGTATAATTAAAATGCAAAATAAAAGTGAAAATGAACAGAATTTTGCTGAAAGGACAAAAATGTAGTCATGATATTCTTTCTGAAAAATCTTGCTGAATTATGTGACAATTCAAACAGAAGTTGTCTTCAGAAAAGTGATCAAAGAATTTTATAATTTTACACATATTCAAGGCTTGAGGAATGATCTTGAGAAAATTAATTCTTGGAAAAAATCTAGAAACATTTAATTAAAATGTAGTGGATGAGATGAAACTGAAATCCTTATTTCAAGTCATATCAAGTCAAGTAAATTAACAGTCATCAAAATGCACACAGAATGGTTTCTTTAAAACAGAAAGGATTTTCACTTGAGATTAATTTATGGGAAAAGTAGGAAAATCAAGTTAAAAGTATATTTAAGTAGCCTGATTTGTGGAACTATGGACAAGATACATATTAGGCCATCAATTTCAGGAAAACACTTATCACTACAAAGCTCCCTCAGACCTAAAGCATTTAAAATTCAGACTGATTTCTCAAGGTGAATAAAGCAAAAAACATATCATTCAATTCAGAAAGTTTAACAAAATAAAATTTGATTGAAAAATTAAAAGGATTATAACCTGTAAATAGTGCGCCTGTGTAATGAAGCCTGATCCAGTGACATCAACAGATTTGAAGACATGCAGTGTTTGGAGGAGTTGTGTCACAGATGGTACTGGCCAAGGCTGTGATGCTGCCAGCAAGAATTTGCGCCAGTCAGTAAGTTCTGAGTTCACTGTGAATTCAGATGCCAGATTTTCTAACTACAAAACCAAAATAGAAAATATTGTCAAAATACAGGTGTACATAAACAGTCTTTCAGTATTCTGTGTATCCTTAGGTATTTTCCTGGGCAGGATGAACAAGATTCTGCAGTGAGGTTTCACAAAGCAAAACAGGCCACAGGCCACTGTGTGTCAACTGATACCACTCTAAATAAACACTCTGTGTGCTCAAATAGGCATTTATATATGCCTTAGCCTGAGAATTTCCTTTTGTAAGTAAGTTCTTGCTTCCATGATAAATTTAAAAGTCTCTTTTAAAATTGTCTCTTTTAAGGAAAAAAAATTCTATTACTAAAATAAAGATAGGATTTATAAGCACTAAAAATTTTCAAAGAACACAGAATATGGGATGCACGCGCATTTTGTCTATTAATAGACAATATTTGACTGATAGCTTTCCTTGGATAATTAATTTCCTGTGCTGAAAATAGCTTCTATATAGTCAAGATGACAGATGTGACTAATTTTTACTAAACTCACTGGAACTACATCACTTTAGCATTAAAATGTTTTACTCATGCACTTCATCTGTGTAAAGAATATATGAATAAAATGATAAAATCATGTGAAATCCAATTAAATCTTAATGTGAATAATGGTTTACTGTCAGAAATAGTTACTCAAACATACTAACACAAGTAAATATTTTCATTCTGTAGCTTTGCTAGTAACATCTGATGTTTGAATCCGAAAGAGAAAATAATTCAGTATGAAGGATTTGAAAGTTTTCATGTTTCCAAATCTGAAAACCTTGGATGGTGTCTTAAGCACTGATATAATTTGCAAATTGTAAATAAATAAAGTGCTGACAAAATGTTTGGCACAGTCACTTCAATGATCCTTCCCTAGTGAAACAGAAGAATTTTAAAGAATAACTAATAATATCCTATAATATTATAATCTTCATTTTATCATACTAAGGACAATGCTGCATCTTCTACACAAACCAATATTCCAGTTGAAGAGAATATAGGGGTTCACTTACATCTGCAAGTGTTAAGTTCTTCCATGCATCAGGAAAGTAATTTATTCCAAGATTCAAATTAACCAAGCCACAAACAGTTTCAATAAATACTTTCTTTGGTATAAGACCTAATAAAAATCAATATAGAAATATGTTTAGACTTTAAATAGACCTCTTCTGTTAAAAAAAAATAAAAATTAATGGCTATATGAGAAAGTTATTTACTTTCCTATTATGCACTATTGATAATGCTAATATTTTCCAAACCAAACATAAAATCTCCTTATTTAAAATTAATCATATGTGACCTATCTAATAGCAAAATTTCAAATATTTCACTGCATTACAGTTCTTCTGGTACTTGTCCTCATCTGCATTATGATCACTAATCTATCCTCACATGGTTTACACTGACAGTTAATGAGTATTCAGACACCAATCTCTCAGACTTCTGTGTATTGAATACCTAACAACATTTTCTTCCACTCTGCTCTATTTTAATCAATCATAAATCCATCTTCACTCTTTAAAGCAAGCATTAGCTAGAGAATAGAGTAGAAAACATGCATTGTTATCTGTTGAATTCTGCAACAAAATTCAACTGTTTGAAAAGCTTCTCAGGACTCACATTTGGGAGTTAGAAATAGCTCCATTAATTCTATTTAAAAAAAAAAAAAAACCTAAGGAAAAAATCAGGTAAGTGCAGCAAACCCTATTTTTTAAAAAGCAGGAATAGATTTGCTTATGAACAAACAGAAACTCCAACCTTCATGTATGGTATCAAAGCACAAAATTATGTATAAAAATTTTTTAAAAACAGATAGGAGTCTTTTCTTTCAGAAATGGACTTTGCTGGGTCAGTGAGAGTTCACTGCAAAACCTCTGCAGTAACAATAAAAAATGTAAAAGAAGTTTCAAGTTATTTAAATTTTGAGAGATAAAGCTGAATTGGTCAGGTTGTGATCAATGCCATGGCATCAAAACAGGAGTTTTTAGATTACCTTTAAAATCAAACACAATCAGTGAAATGCTGGGAAGACTTACTTTTTTTTTTCCCTTTTCCAGTCAAACTTCTTGTCCATTTGAAAAGGCAAACCTGTGCACATTCTATGGCTAAGACACTTTTTTTGAAGTGAAACAGTGAAGTGAAATTTAGGTTGATGAAAAAGAGATGTAATAAGAATATAAAGAATGGGTTTGGGTATTAATTTCATTGTGTCATTGTTCAAAATCAAGTTGCTAATTTGAATGAATACTCTGCATCTCTGTAGACCTGTTTATCTCCATTCAGGAAAACCAGGATTAATGCTTTCAGCACATCTTAATACAGTAGAGAAATCCTATACAGATATAAACTTGGAGAGAAAAGGACAAAAATAGGTTTGGGAAGCTCAGTCTGTTGGGATAGAAAGAAGGAAAGGAGAAACACATGGACTTGAAGCCTTCAAATCCTCCCCCAAATTTCAGCATGAAAGGAAAAGCTGGGGAAAAAATACTGTCAGACTGCTAACAGTGTTCAGATATCTTGAAAGTTTTCATGTTATCTGCATTGAGAAAGAATATCTTCTAAAAAATGTGATAAATCATGTGCTGTTTCCTGAAACACCTTAGATTGTTAATATAATAATTTTAAGGTCAACAGAAATTTGGTTTTTTCATGAAAACTTAAATTCTCATTATTTCCATATAGCACAATGAAGTCTGCATCACAGGAGCATCATTACTGGGCCACATAATCTAAGATTCCATAAACCAGGTAACATTTTAGTGATTCATGGGGAAAACAGGCTATTGGTGCATGAATGAGCCAGTGAACAAAAAAACTACAGGGAAAATGTTTACATCTTCTTTGCAGTATCAGATTTTCTAGTGCTTTAAATAAATAGCCCAGCTAATAATTTTAGTTTTTTTGCTAAACATTTCCCTTTCCATTTGATTACTGCTAGTCTAACTTAGCTTTCTGTCACACCATCTTATATTTTAAACTGTTTAACTCCCACTATGATCTCCTTACATGAAGACAAATATGTAGTTCCTGTATTTATGATTTTTTGACTTCCTGAAATGAAATTTAATTTTGATTTTCTTCACAGAATTCTAAAAGGATAATAATATCTTCATATCATTTTTTGTGAAGCTACATGACTTCAGAAACATACACTGAAAGTATCTGAGAGACATGGAATTTAAAGACCTTGCATCAAAATTAATGTCTGAGATGGGATTAAAGGATCTAAATCACAACTTACATAAACTATGTAATTGTTTATATTAACTACTTTTGCTACTGACCTGTAGGGCAGTTTCTTTTACATTACTCCTCCTGAAACATCTGATGATGAATAATTCCAAAGTAATAGTAGTTCAAAATCTTCAAATGGACTGTGACTTAATTCCTTCTACTGACATATGTAGGAGGAATGAGGCAGTCCCAGAGAAAGAGAGGAAATTCCTCATAAACATGTGTTACTTACTGTGCTGTTAGGTACTTTGTCTAGACTTAGTGAATTTGGGTATATATTACAGAGCATAAAACTGTTTTTGAGTATCTGATTATAATATCAAACAAGAGGTGATTCATCATTTCAGCTCAAGGGCTGTCAGTGCTTCATAATCATGGAGAGATGCTGAGAGTGGGCAGCTACACAGACAGTACCCAGAAAAGAATACTGGTGTCTGCAAATGGTAGTCTGCAAGCAGTGAAAAAAAAATATGTCCTCTAGGAAGGAAAAAGGAAGACAATTCCCAGAACTGGCTTTTTCCACTTAGAAAGACTCATTTCAAAAAAGGTATGCTCTTTACAAAATCCTTTTGTAAGTACAAAATAAAAGACACCAAACCTAGTAAGTTTTAGTTAAATAATGTAGGAGACTGAATAGAAAATGAAACATTTTTAATTAGAAGGAGCAGTAGGCATCGTGTGAAAAGAATCAGTATTCATGAAGATTTTGAAAACTGGAGAGATGGTCAGGGTCAGTAAGTAAGCTTCCAGAAACAGATCAAAGTACTTTTCGGAAATGGACTGCACAAATTGATACATTTATTACACTGTAGATAAAACAATTCAGGAACAGACTTCTACCACATTGGAGAACAGGATTAGAATTCAAAGTGAACTTTAAAAACTGGAGATTAAGTCTAGAATAAAAGGACACTATCCAATAAAAATAAATGTCAAGTGCCCCACTGGGCTGACATAATGAACTGAATAAATGTCCCAAAGGGAATCCTACTGCCAAAATAAAATTTCTACAGAAAAATCTCTAAGGATTATAACATATTACAATAATACAAGAAAGTACATGGGAATTCACTGGAAATAATATTTCTTTCCCCCCGCCCCCACACAGATGTTAAGGCTCTGCTACAATACAACTTTGGAAATTCTAGATCAAGAATGATGGATGTAATCTAAAGACCTAAAGAAAACAGCAAGAATCATCACAGATTTAGAATATATCTCCTGAGACATGAAGTTGAAGGAATTCTGCTAGTTTCATGGATGAAGAGTATGAGAAAATATGTTTCTGCTCTGTATCATGGAGGTGACTTTAGTGTTACAGATAAAGAATCACCATTTTTTTGTTTTTATTTCTTTTTTTTTTGTTTTCACCTGTTGGGTATCCTTGGGACACATTTTCAAACTTTTTCTGATCTTAGCATTGTTAAAAATCTCCATTTGAATATTTTGAGAGAAAAGAACCCTCTTGGTATTATGTGATTTAGAAGAAAACCCTTAAATTCACAATTTTCATGTATAACAAGCCATATATCTAATAAGGTAATCCATGAAATATATATCCTGTTGCTTATTAGACAAAGTGTATCTAAACTTTTTTTTTTTTGTCTGTGAAATCACAAGTTCAGATATTTTATACAATGCACAGTACTGATCCCTGTTTCTGTCAGAGATTAACTCCACTGGAGTGGACCAATACTCTTTAATGAGGCATTCCTTCAAAGCCTACTCCATTTCTGATGTGTATATATACATAAGGTATTGTATATACCCAGAAGAAGCATGAACATCTATGCAAAACACCAAAAAGAGACTGTATGCATATATATATATCTGTGTGTGTTTGTGTGGTATAACATAGCACAGTACAGAGCAGAGTTGAGTACAGTAGGGTGTGAAGCATTTGGTATCTTTTGCTATTACTACATAGATTTTATATTCAAAGTAGAATTATCTTGATTTAGAAATGATTGATTCAAAGGTGAATGACGTCATATTCACTTCTCCCAGATTAACTGTAATACATGTCACTTGCTGTTGGAAGAACCAAGAAGCCATCTTTTGATATAAATCATTGCTATTTCCTTGCTGGTAGAAATATATTCTGCTGGTATGCTTTACCTTTTGAAATTATCAAGTAGAAAGGTGCATTTAGAATATGTAGAATTATGAAAAGATATATTCTCTAAATGATATTCATTCTCAGCTCCTAGATTAAAAATCAAGATACAGTGATCTTATTGCAACCCTTACAAATATTCTTACAGGGCAATAAAAAGTACTTCAAGCCGCAAAGCAAATCAATCACATTCTGTCTGTAAGAGTACGTGTTATGGGACGAGTAATTTGTGCAATTAATAATCAGGACTTGGAAAATGGATCCATTCTGCCTCTGTAGGGAAGTCTTCAGAAGGACATGCCTGAGAAAGGTCATGTTAAATTTTATCTGGTTTGCACATTCTGTCAGGGTCTATATAGGGAGAGCCAGATTTAGCAATAGCATGGTATCTTCTAAAAATATTTTCTACTCTACCCAGTGTTATGGAGTTCATGCTCTTCAACATCTGCTCAGCAGAAGCTGTATCTTGTGAAGCAGAACTGGCAGCTTCCATGCAGGTAGCCCAAGCATGAGCTTCACTACTCTGGTGTGTGTCTATAAATTCAAGTTTGAAGTCATCAGTGCCAGAACAGAAATTATGAATATTTTCCTCCAAATCCACATTATGTTTACGACATGGTACACAAAACATTATTCCCCTTTCATCATCATATTTTAACCAGGAGTATTTTGTTAGCCATATTTTTGGAAACTGGTGATTCCTCTTTGTTTTCTGACGTTCCAAATATTTCTTCTCTTTCCCTCTGTCACCAACTTCTGTGTTGCTAGAA